TGCAAGGATGAACAACATAAAGAGGGACTGAACACAACCTATAAAACACTATACTGAACAAAGAAGTGAAGAAGAGTGTGAGCGAAGACAAAAGGCACTTCTACGACATATTGGCAAATGAAGCAGAACAGGCTTCAGGTAGAAGAGACAGAGACCAGACAACAATGTATCAAATAACTAGGTTACCATCTGGGAAGAGATCAATGCAGATGAGACCAATCAAAGATAGTGGAGGAAACTTAGTTAGCAAAGATGATGAACAAAAGAAACAATGGGCTGACCACTTCAAAAAACTCTTCGATAGACCACCACCAGCACCTGCAACTCTTCCAGAAATACCACCAGCAGCCCAGCCACAGAATTACCAGTGAACACAAGCCCTTCAACAAAAGCAAGAGTGAAGTCATGAACGCCATAAAGCTGTTGAAATCCGGGAAAGCAGCAGGACCAGATTGAATTCCTCAAGAACAACTGAAAACAGACGCAGGGACAACAGCGGACACGCTCACACCACTATTGCACAAGGTTTGGAAGGAAGTAAAGGTACCCGCCGAGTGGAAGAAGGGCTACCTTGTCAAACTCCCGAACAAGAGAGAGGAAAGTCTTTGGGGGAATTGGCGCGGAATCATGCTGCTGTCCGCACCAAGCAAAATATTAAGCCGCATCATCCTGGATAGAATAAAAGATGCACTGCATTCAAAACTACGACTGGAACAGGCTGTCTGGCTGGATTCAGAAAGTACAACCATATGTAGACCGAATTGCAACGCTACACTATGCATCATCATCATAGAACAGAGGATAGAATGGCAGTAAACTCAACTCAACCTTAACTTCGTCAATTTTGAAAAGGCCTTCGACAGCGTCGACCGAGAAGTAATTTGGCAACTGTTTCAACACTACGGTTTCACTGCCACAAACCTTTATCGACCTCATTCCACAGCTATATGCTATGCTATATGATGCTACGTGTCAACTGATTCACAATGGAAAGCTCAGTGACACCTTTGAGGTGAAGAAAGACAGGAGTAAGACAAGGCTGCCTACTATCACCGACCATCTTCCTGATAGTGGTCGACTGGACTGGATCATGCAGCAAACTATGTGGAGCGAAAAGATGGGCATACGCTGACTGGACCGATGAAAATACCCAAGAAGATTTGGATTTCGCCGCCGATGATGACTCAGTCTTATTTCTTGTCGCACAAACTCGAAGATCTATAGGCGAAAACCAACAAGTTGATGGGAGAGGCAGCGAAGACGGGACTTGCTTTAGGTGAACGTAGAGAAGACAGAGGTGATGAAGATACCCAACCAACGACAACAGCAACAAGCACCAATCACCATCAACGGGAAAAACTTGAAGGAAGTAGTCTCTTTCACCTACCTAGACAGGGTAGCATCGGTTCAACTACAAGTGGCGGCACAGATAAGGACATCAAAGCAGCCAGGGTCGGAAAGCAAGATAGGCTTTCATTAATCTGATATATATATATATATATATATATATATATATATATATATATATATATATATAAACACCTTGCGGGTCATAATGTAGTCACAGCCCGCAACTGGAACGTTTACCCAGTGTTTTTATTGATCAAGTCAAATGCTATCACATCACTTAGTGGTTGTCATAACAGGTAAAACGTCTGCAGAGTTGTTGAAGAACACGTCTATCGACTGACTTGTAGTGATATGATATACTAACGACCAAGTATAATGCTTCATAGGACAAACAGCCAGAGAAGAAACAAACAATGGGTAACATACTTTTAGTATAATAATATCCACTTGTTTATGAATTACAAAATACGAGTAAACGGATTTGAAAAATCGCAAGAGAACCTGGTATAAAAGTGTAGTTTTTAGGTGTCACGTTTTTTACTATTCCAGCAGATAACCAATCGATGCACAACAAAAAATGAAAGACATCGAAGAAAATGCACAAAGTGAAGGATAATAAGATATTCAGAACTACAGTTAAACAGAAAGAAAAAATCTGCATCGCTTTCGAATCAAATAAAGGAGTATCAGTTCCTGACATCAAAAGACATGACTAGCTGTGGGTTGACACAAATTCAAAAGTCCTTAGCATACTTGTTAACTTTTAATTATGCCTATGTTTATTTAAGGGTCCAAAGGCGATCACCATAATTTCAATAGCAAAGTGCATCACATCTGAACAACCATGAACTTTAAGACTTAAATCACTAGAACTTTTAAGTTCATATGACAAGTGATTGAGTACTCTGGAAGTATAGAAGATATTTAACTAATGGGTGGCAACAAAACTTTCAATGACTTGAAAGCCTACCACTGTGGAATAAATAAGCATCTGAACCAGTTTTTCAGAATATTTTGTTGAGTGCTTCCTGATCTTCACTGGTCATCAGATTGATATCGACACTCAATACTATCAGATATTGTCAATCCGATAGCTCCACAGTTTCACCTTTATTCCTCCTTATTTATTATTCGATAAAAGTACTTTCAAATCTTTAGCGATATGCTGTGTGACTGCACTAGTCAGGAATTGCTCATACATACTCTACTTTTACTTTCTTAATTTTTATTCTGTTTATTTATTTGATTTTTCTGTGTTATTATAAGGTATATTGTAACGATGCCGATTTTCCAGTTGCTTAGTTATTTCGACCGACAAGTAGGGGTGTAGACGTTCTTGTGTATTGTTGTTTGACAACATGATTGACTACTCTGACATATCGATATACGAATGGATACTTGTAAAATTCATGCTCTGACTAATGCTTTTAGTATTTCATTCTGTAACTTCGATGTTAACTACCAGTCACATAAAGTGTTCATATTTAAGTTAGTTTCATTATGTTTTATTAATTCCATTTAGAACACCGGAAGCGTATTTAGACATGTAATTTATCAACGGCCCTCTCTCTCAATATGCTCCAGTATTGTCACTAGTTACCACATAATATTCATTTTTCCCGTGAGATCTGATAATTGTAGTTTGTGTTGTTTCATATCTCCACATCATTTGTTCAGGTTGATGAGTTTTTGACGTCCCAGACATTTATTTGCTACCGAAATCCGGTTCGCAAACCAGTCTGAATAAAGATATATTTAGCAATTATTTCCAGCGGCATGTGAATGAGAGCGGTCAGATTGACATTTCAACAACAACCTAAAGATCCTTAACATGTGGAGGAATTTCGCGCTTCAGACACCATGCGAAGAAATGAGAGTATTCACGGAGAACCTCATAATTGTTGACGTCGTCCGGGCCTTCCACAATATGAAAAGCAACTAATGGCGGCTTACGGTTTGCAATTACCGTCATCTCAAACATCTGGAACTAATTTTACCAAGGTTTCATGGATAGGGCCATAGAATATACTGCTGTCCAACAAAAACCGGAGAAACAGTAAAGCGAATTCTAAGATGTTAAGTGCAAAAGCAAACAATGTTTTTGAAGGTGATAACAGCATTTCTTAGGAGGACACCACACCTAATCACTTGTATGTTTCAAGAGCTTAAGTCGACAGATGACATGTTGAATGCAATTGTCTTCAACAAAAAGAATGATCTAGTATAATTGTTTCTATATCTAGCAAGTACATCCAATCCCAAATAGGACGAAATGCACATCCTGGATTCCACTGATGGCCACCATCCATCATCAGAATGATCTATCTAAAATATCCTGTGAAGAATGTGAAAAATATTTACTGGCATCTTGAAGGCAATGATATAGCCGAGAAAACAGTTCAGTGAAGTTAGTTTGTATAACATTTCCTTACACGTCATTGGCACTGTGAATTTCAACCTCCTGAAAGTCATGAAATCTGTCAGGATCTTTCATAACAATAAACAGCTGATAGCTGATGAGCTTCGCATGGATGATTACTATAGGAAATAAATCCAACTATCAAGTAGCAGTTTTGTTAGATTGTCTAAATCTCCTGAAACCCATCATAAAGGTGATTATGGTAACAACAGCACATTTGTTAAATATTCAATTCACTCAATCCCAATGTTTGGTGTCGGGATATCTTAACAAACGGAAGAAATTTTTTCCTCGACAATTTCATCCTCCAGTTCGAGAATATACAAAAATCATTTACGAATTAGTAATAACACTTTATACAACTGATTTCTTTTCAGGGGATCACTTTTGATTGACCTAGGAAAACATTCAGTAACTTAAGCTGATGTTGACACTAGAAGAAACCTCGAGTATTTATTGGATGGAGCACAGTTCCTATCAGAACTAGCGTTAATTGAGGTGGAAAAAAACCCGTAGAAATCAAGTTTTTGAAATCGATCCAATGCTTAGAGTATAATACACTCAATCTTTTAACATCGTAAATTCAATGGAAAGGGTGAGATTAGAGCCTGAAACAAAATTTATCCGATTACCAAGTGCTCCATGAGCACTGCAACCTAAACAAGTCTAATTTTCATAACATGCAGAAAAACAATGTGCAGAAAAGCAGGAAAGTGCAACATTTCAAGTTACAATAAGGCAGAGAAAACTAACAGAAAAGGGAAACTAAAATAAAAAGGGACGAGACAGAAGTGAATGGACAATAAAATATCTGGCCACAGAGTTTGTTACCAACTTGATACCACTATTTCAGTTTTCTTTGAAGAGTAGCAAGAAACAAGTAAATATAGTTTGATCATAAAGCACTCATACATACTTGAGTGAAATTAACTGGGCATAAAAAACTCAACGGTTACATCAGTTAACGGGTTTCTGACCACAAAAGAAAGGGCGGTTAACCAAACATTTATACACCAAGTTTATAACTATTCAGTGTAACGAGAACTTAAAATGGTCAAAAACGGATGTCACGAATGTTTTACTTAAAAGCAGATTGCTAAACAAACCAAACATGTGCTAATTGACAAGATTAGTCAAAGAACTCAAATATTGCTATGAAAGCCTAAACTTAATCACTCCACCATATTGATTCACAACAGAGCACATCAATAAACACACGAAAGTTACTTACCTCAAGGTTTGACAAACCATCTTTAGGACCTGTGAGCAACACATTATAATAAAACATACAACATACTCAATTTCCCAAATGAAGCTGATAGTCGCTTTCGAATTCTTTTCAGAATGCGAAGTTTTGATGTGGATTTTTCTGTAGGGAAAACAAATGTTTGATATATACGTGTATTTGTTACACATGAATTCATGTGTATAATGTCAACAAAAATTCCATGAGAGATAAAAAGAACCTTAAAAAGATCGTGCTATTACCTTTAAGTGTAAAACTCTTATAGAGAATCGGATTCGGAGCAGTGTGACCAACTCCTAATCCTGGTTCAGACATAATTCCTTAGAACAAAGCCATGAAATATTTAGGCTCCTCAATGGGAGCGCTTAAACCTAGAGCACATGTTAAATTATCCGATCTCAACATACAAACAGTGAAATAAATTCAATGTCAAATAGAATAATCTTAAGTTTTCATTTTCGAAAGGAAGATAAGATGACTTTTTCTAATCCACATTTTGAATGTAGTGCATTTATTTTCCATAGATGTTAGACAAGCCTGTATAAACCAGTTGATTTCTTAGTGCTTGTTGGTCTCGGGGAAGAGTTCCAAGTCTTCTGTGGATTCCAGTGCAGTCTGTCATTGTATACCTCTTGCTACATCCATAAAACACCCTTTCTGGTTTGCCTATGGATTTTTCTTGTGGGGTTCATGTATTTTTTCAGGTTTGATGGTTGTGAGACGTTGTGAACCTCTTGGTGTGGTCACATGTTGGTCGTGTAATGCCCCAGATACAGCTCCGAAGTCGTGGTGCCCAGCGGTCATCGAGCAGATTGTGCTGCAGAAGGTAAAATACTTTTTGGGCGCAGGGACTGTGGAAAAGCATTATACCATAATTGTCCAGGTTAATTTCAGTCCGTTGTTTCTAACAGATTCGTTTGTACACCAAGACATGCGAAACTGTTTATCAGATGCATCAGATTATCCTGGTGCTTTTGTGTCAATATCCTATGGTTTTCAGGTGACCCTCTAAATGCTTAACCGTCCACTTTTTAATCATCGACATGACCAGGAAATTCTGGCCATAACGTCAACCAGTTTTGTCGACTGAGGTACACTTGATAACCCTCATATAAGTTATCAGTATCACTCATATGGCTTCCTTCTTCCTAACTAAGCCAATTTTGTAACACTAATTTCCCATCCACTGTACTTTCTTCTGTACCTAAAATAGTGAACCCCAAAAACTGTTAACACTACAGCATATCCTTATGAAGTCATTGCTTACCTTCATCTTCCTGCGCATTCACCCTTATGCCACCTGGTAAATATGTTGGGCCAGCCTGCTTCTTCTTTTATTCATCCATCATACTGGTAGGGTCCACACTGTCGATCAAACCTGAGGTGTGGCGACAACTGGCCGAGTTGTGAAATTCTGTCGTTTTGTCTGTGCAATACTAATTCATGCACCTAGATTTCATTCCACTTACCTTTACAACCATGCTTCACCCTAGACTATATCATTACTAGTCTTTTTCATGCATGCAAACATCGCGCCTCATGCAGTGCTTCCGCTGCACCTTCTGGTCATGTTAGTTTTCTCACTGATGATATTTTAAACCTCTTCTCAAATGACTGTTACTCAAACTTATCATAAATGACACTGCCACCACTGAAATTGATCTCCCTACCTACCATCTTTGGGTCTACTGTTATCGTCATTATGGGTGCTCGATGCTCAAAAACTTGCGCTTCCCATTTCTTTTAATAAACGCAAAATTACTGCGCATTCCGTTGGCTAACAGTTTAATTGCATCTTGCTTCCCAGTTAGCAGATGTAGGGTCAACTCGCAAACAGCACTTCGAGGAAGAATAACAGTAGGGACCATTGTCGTGGATTCCGCTCAGTTCGTTAACAATGAGACACCTTAATAAACTCGAACCAAGGTTAAGACCAGAACGCCAACCAAAACCCTCAAGTTGCTGGCACAGCACTTGCTGAGGGTTCTTTTTACACACTCCTACACCCTCTGGGTATTATACATCCCAAGAATTTTGTGATAGCAATAATGATCGCCTTATTCCAAACAGAATGTACGATTGCAAAGCATCCTCGGCAGCTGGTTTTGTTCAAGCGAAATCTCCCCTAGAACAATATTTTCAGGCGAAACAGTTATTGCGTCTGCATGGTGGTAATAACAACAGTATTTGAGGCAATAGTGTGAAATAGTCAGCTGGTTCTGGATGGATGTCCGGTCCATAATGAAGGATCAACAGAAATGCAAGCGTAGTTTTGGCGGTGGCGATACGAAAATCTGCTACTCAAGTTAGGCATCTGACGGATAAAAATATGATGTACTTTTAAGAACAGAAAGTCCACTTTCATGTAACGCAACCATTTTCCCTGCTTTGTTATGGGGTCGAAAAACAGAGAGTGGAAAGCAGTTAAAAAATTGCAAGAGTACATAATACGCTCAAAGGACATATTTAAATGGTCAAAACAAGTTGAAAAGAAAGAATTCAGTAAAAAACACTCAGTGGATAAATTAGGCGGCCCAGTGTTCAAGCAAGCCGCTGTGATGTTCAAGGACTATTCACTCGTTAACCGGGAACACACCAAATTCCTTTTGTGTTTCGCAGAACTGAGTAACTACCTTTCTTGCATATAATATGAAATTTTGATTGCTCGAGGCCCAAGCAGGCCGCCAGATGGCTTACGCATATGGTCTGACATTTTAAATATTTTATCGTCCATAACTTTCACTGTTCCTCTTGTTTCTAAGGCGGTAGACAATTTGAAGGCGTCGCACAGCTCGAGAAGTGGTAGTAGTAATAAATAACAGTAGCGATTCCTGAATACTTAGACACATACCGTTTGCGCAGGTGTGAGTGAATTTTCGTATGCATTACAATTTTCTTCACGGTAAATAATATTTGTCTCCACCTACTCACTCACTGGAGGATATGTGTAGCATGTTTATAGAATTGAGTGCCAGTAGAATAACTCCACACAATGACATCCGTCTTATTCAAAGTTAGTTGCTTCGCAAATGCACCGCACCTGGACTGCTTTATGACGAACGATGATCTCACTGAGGACATGTGTCGAACCCCCTCTTGGCCTCAGTGATCACGTGATAATACTTTTCCTTTTGATTGCCAAGGGGGCTGTGCAACCATCTTTACCACAGCCATTCCAACCACAAGACCATGAGAGATTATCTCATGAATACATCGTGGCCGGTAAACTGGACTCGTCACCTAAAGGATGAACACCGGACACCGGTGAAGGAAACAGACTTTCGAGCCATTTGACACACAGTCTGCTGGGGGCAACACATAGACAGCCAGTGAGAACCTCATGGCCAAAGCGCAAGACAAAGGGGCTACTTCAGGCTAAGAAGCAGGCTTGGTTCAAATGGCGTCCATCAAGCGGGGAGTTCGACTTCTTGAGCTGAAAAATTCGCCACAGCTGCGACGTTAAAGCGCGCAGTGAAGACTTAGCTATCAAAAAAGCCCGGAAGGGAGGTTAACTAGTGACTCCATAAACCCATGCATCCCCATGTCGAATGGGAAGTCGGCCAATGAAGGGGTGAGTCTTATCACAGGTCCTGATGCAGCAGTTTTATACAGTCTAAAGATAACTGAGCTTCTGAGCTCATGCCTCTTGATTCAACCTAGTGCTGAGACCAAATCCACACAGATTTGATGCGATATTTGTCAGAAAACAAATAACTAATGCCTCTTGCACATCCCAGTCACAGAGAAAAAAGTGTCGGAGAAACTGCCCAGCCAAGTCTTCTGCCTGCGATAACCTGAGACCGGTAATTCTAGAAATCTGCGCCACGGCGCATTCTAAGCTAATCCATAATCCCTTCAGACATTCAATAGGGTGATGCGAATCCCCTAAAGAATAGAGGTGTGTTATCTTGTCACCCATTTGAAGGTGAGGGGACAGAAAAAGCCCTGGAAGCCATAGACCCATACGGTCAAAGGTGTTTGCAAGCCTGATAACCAACGAGATCTAGGAATTCCCTGAAATGGAAAACACCATCCACGCTATTCAGCATGGCTTTCGGAGTGGTCGTTCATGAACCACCAACCTGCCCACTGCTTGAGATTACCAGATATTTGGCTGGGACAGCATAAAACCAGCATATGCCATTCTTTCGGGCATAGCCAAAGCATTTGACAGTGTTGGGCCCTCAGTCCTGCTTCGCAAGATCACTTCAGCCAGTACAAGTTGGAGCCGACTATATTGGTTCAAGGAATACCTAGAAAGTCAGCGGTTCTGCACCAAGGTAGACAGAACACGAAAGAAGTGGGAACCGTCAACATCAGGATATCTCATGGAGCAATCCTGGGACCAATTCTGTTCCTCCTGTTTGCCACTGGTCTGCCAAATGAAATCTCCTGGTTCACTCTCCCCCCAATGATGGCATCAAAATGTGAGGGGTGGTGAACGAAGAGGCCGACTGTGCAGCACTACGAAGTGACCTCCAGCAGCTTGAACCCTTGTCGTCGAAAAAAGCTTGAGGTCCGTCCTGGGAAGGCGGAAAGTAATGAACATCAGTACCAGTGAAGCAAGCGTGGCCCACTTCTAATACATGTCGAACAACAGTGTTATCGCCAGCGTCCGAGGAAAAAGATTTGGGGCTCAACTTCTCCGATACCTTGGACACCAGCTTCAACTACAAGGACATATCAACCAGATCCAACGCCACTGTGCACCACCTGCGTGCGCAGCTTGGTTCCCTCACCCCTGAACTGTTTCTCACAGTTTGAAAACCCTATGTACGGGTGCGCCCTGAGGTCTTCAGTACGCAGGCGCCTCCAACACTCAAGAGGGACTCCTTGAAAAAATACAAGGAACCGCAGCAAAATCAGTTGTGGGGCTGGAGGGGATGGGAAACCCTGAAAGACTACAACGCCTTAACCCATTCACCTTGGGCCATAGAAGAAAGAAGAATGGCACTATGGCCTGCAAGGTCATCTACCGGGCAAATCAAGCAGACAAAGTGACTTTATCTGGAACACAGCGGTTGTCGTAAAGAAACCTCATAACGACAGTGTGCTGGGGGGCTACCTCAACGCCCAGGTCCAAATTTCTCTTACCGACGGTATATGCTTAATGGTATGCCCCACTGCGAGATGTAGTCATAGCCTCTTCGTTAGACTCATTCAACGGGCGGGTTGGCTGTCACATAATTTCGCACGGTTTTACCACCTAGATGGCAAAATGGCCTCGTTTTAATTTCTCTAGGAGTAGGCGGCACACCTTTTACTGATGGAAGGGCTCCATTTCGTTGCGTGGTGAATCCGAGGTGCCTCATGATGTTCCCCCCTCTTCTTTCCTTTCTTTTTTCTTTTCGCACAACTTTCCTACCCCGACCAAGGCCAA